GGGAGAGTTCTTCTTCTTCCTCTTCTCAGTCCACCATCTCCCTCTCACCCTCTCATCATCTGACTTCACTGCATCTGCAGACTACGAGAGAAGAGAGAAAGAGCTTGGTGACATTGGATCCAGACTCGACTTTTGGACTTCAGACATTGCAACGAGGGACTATTTGGGACTTGTGACAAAGACTTGGTGTTGACGACATTCCCATCTCTCCCTCTCCTCTTCGTCTGATTCCCTCCTCTTCGTCTGTGTATGTCTGGACCTGGCGCTTCCTTCCTGTGTACAGCGCCAGGCTCCTTCACACTTGGTGATGGAGATGATGTATGTTTGGTCTGCGTTCAAACATTGATTGGGCTAGTCATTCGCATTCTAGCATTCTGCTTCGCTACCTTGTACTACGTGAATGAGGTCAGTCCCGGTCAGGTCAGGCTTTGTATCTAAGTCTTCCCTGCGCTATTCAGCACCCTTTTGTATGCATGAGAATGCACATTGCTTGTTGAGATTCTACTTGCACTGCATTGTCCATTCAGTCCTTTTTTATCACATTGCGGATCCCTCTGTTATTATGTACATCACCCATCTGGGCATGTAACAGTTGGAATCGGTGCACCGCACGTGAATCAGGACAACCTGATCGGACACGTGTGCGGGGACTAGGTAGCTGATTAGTCTTTATTGATTGATTAGAGCACACTAGTTAGCCCCCAAAATCACGATTTTGACCTTACTACCGAAAATCGAATCTTTTTTTCTTTTCTTGGATTTTGTTTTCTCGCTACTCTTGTTGTAGAAAATCGCAATAGCACAGCATCTGAAATTTCCATTTTCGTTTTTCTTCTAAAAATTCAAAATTTCGTTGTTGAAAATCCGGAATATCTTTCTTTTCGAAAATTTCGATTTCCTGTTGCATTTTCCGTTACTTAGAAATTCGCAATATCTTCTTTTTCGAAATTCGTTTTTCTGAAAACGGTACGGAAAATCCCTCCTGCAGGTATTATTTTCCAACTGCAAATACTCTCATCTGAGTAAATCCGAATATTTGTCATTTCTTTTCGGAAATGTTTTTCGCAGTTCTAGGAATTTTTTTTGATTAGTGGCTCCTTATCTAGGCGATTCTTCCCACCCACCCTCCCCACCTATGTTTTTGCCACCTCTTGCCCTACCTTCTCTACCTGTCTCTGGGTACCCCCCCGCAGCGGCATTGGTGAGTTGCGACGTCAGCAGACTACGTCAGCAGGACACGCCAGCAGACCACGTCAGCAGGCCACATCAGCAGGACACGTCAGCAGGACACGTCAGCCGACAGAGCAGGAAATACCACGTCAGCAGGCCCCCCGCCTGGTATATGCTGTTGCGGTCACATACAGCCGTCATGGACCAGAGGTCCGGAGAAGCAGACGAGGCCTATCAGTCCCTGATGCTGGCTTGGAGTACCGAAACAAAGAAACGGGCGGATGACGCAGCAGCAGCAGCGAAGAAGAAGGCAGAGGACGCCGAGCAGGCACATCTGCTGGCACTTGAACAACAGCTGCAGCATGACGAGACAGCAGCAAGGGCTGCCGATGAAGAAAGAAACCAACGTCGTGAGAAGATATTTAGCGGAGAGCAGACTTTGCTCACAATGGCAGCGGCATGGCGGACCGAGGCCGAGAATGGCAAGTTGGGAGGATTGTGAAAACAAGATCTCTCTCCTTCTCTCGCATCTCACAGACCTCCTGGCAACCTGCATTACACAGCAGGAGGATATCCACAGCCTCGACGACTCGCTAGCTCAAGTACAAGGCCGCCTTCAGCAGCTGGAGCAGCGACCTGTCGCCGCCCCCGATGCAAGCTCTTCCAATACCTCCAATCGCCTCGAAGCATTGGAGATGGACGTCGGCTCCCTCAAGGACGGCGTGCAGTTACAGCAGACCGCAACGCAACAGATGCAACAGCGGATTTGTACTACCGCCAACACCTCCAGTTCGGAACCGCGCGAGACAGCTCCAATGTTCGACGGGCAGGAGATCTTCTGCAACTCGATGAAGACAGATCCGATTCCATGGTTCCGCAAGTTCGAGCTCACGCTACAGCTACACATCATCAAAGAACACAAGCACCACGCATACTTATACTCTCGCTCAGGGGGCGCGTGCCAGGCTTGGTTGTACAATCTCTTGTCAAAGTACGGAGTGGTAGCTAACGACTTGCACACCAAGATCAGTTGGGATGATCTGAAGGCGGCGTGGCACAAGCGGTTCCAAGTCGAGCCGCCCGAGATCAAGGCTATGGACAAGCTCATGGTCTTCAAGCAAGGCACGCTGACGAGTACCGACTGGATCGCCAAGTACCAACGCTTGACATCAATCCCATACATCCAGATGGGCTTCAAAGCCATCCGCCACTATTTCATCTCAAGGTCATGTCCGACATTAAGTAATGCCCTCACTCACGTTGAGGACACCTTGACGACGACGGCGGAACTTTTTGACAAGGCCGCGCAGATCATCATTACAAACAAGGAGGCTAAGAACCTGCGTTTGTCTGCGGCAGGCCCGAGCAGGGACTAGCATTGGCCAAGAGTGGTCGTGGTCGCGGCAGCAACGCCGTTTGACCAAACCAACGAGGTTGTGTCTGCCAGTGAAGGGGACAGACTCGCAGCCGCCCGTCCCGGCAGAGGCCGAGGACGCGGCAAGACGAAGACACACACCGCATCTAGCCCCGGGCCCGTCGCAACAGCTCCAGCCCCTTGGTCCCAATATGGCATCTCCGAGCAAGCATTCAAGGCGCGCACGAGATTCCACTATTGCCTATGGTGCAACAGTGATCTTCATCAAACACTGGTCTGCCCATTGAAAGGCAAGGGCAAACAGGGAAACTGAGCCCCGCCGAGAGCGACTCAACAACACGCTCGACGCCTCCGGAACCGGTTTCTTCGCAAGTAACCGGCCTTCATTCCGAGGCGCATGCGGAGGTCGATAGTCCTCCTCTTCTACTTTCTTTTGAGGACTATGATGCCCGGCTTGTTCCTACGCTGGGTACTCAAGCTCAAGGAAAAGACGTGTGTGCGGTTTCTTCTCCGTCCGACGCAGCGACATATTGTCTTCAAGTGGTTCTTCACGGGATACGACGCGCGAGTTCTAGTAGCTCCCCATATGGAGCACCAGTTCTCTTCGTCCGGAAGAAGAACAAGGATCTACGATTGTGTATCAACTACCGCAAGCTCAACGCGCAAACCATCAAGAATGTGGGGCCTCTTCCTCGCATCAACGATCTTCTTGAGCGATTGGGCGGCGCAAAGTATTTTTTTAAGTTGGATTTCAAATCGGGATATCATCAAATCTCGATCCGACTGAATGATCGCTACAAATCCGCGTTCAAGACACGGTACGGGCATTTTGAGTGGGTGGTCATGCCTTTTGGCCTCACCAACGCCCCGACGACCTTTCAAGCGGCAATGACCAATGAGTTTCGTGCAATGTTGGACCGGTTCGTGCTAGTCTACTTAGACGATATTCTCGTCTATAGCCGATCATTGGAGGATCATCTTGGGCATCTTCGACGAGTGTTGGAAACGCTCCGCCGCGCCAAGTACAAGGCCAACCGTGACAAGTGCGAATTTGTCAGGCAAGAGCTGGAATACTTGGGCCATTTTGTCACACCGGAGGGCATCAGTCCGCTATCGGACAAGATTCAAGCCATCCAAGAGTGGCCGGAGCCTCGGAACGTCACGGATGCCCACTCGTTCCTTGGTCTCGCTGGCTACTATCAGCGTTTCATCAAAGGCTACTCGAAGATCGCGGCCCACTTGACCAAGCTTCAATGCGAGGATCGGCCGTTTGACTTCGGGGAGGAGGCACAAGAATCATTTCTAGCTCTCAAAGTCGCGCTATTGTCTGCAGAGGTCTTGCGGATATACGACCCGCTTTTGCCTACGCGTGTCACTACGGATGCGTCAGGCTATGGCATTGGTGCAGTCCTCGGGCAACATGATGGTGTGGACTGGCACCCAATCGAGTATTTCAACAAGAAAGTGTCTGTCGTGCATTCCATTGACGATGCACGCAAGAAGGAGCTCCTCGTCTTCGTCCACGCACTCAAGCGGTGGCGACACTTCCTCCTTGGTCGAAGCCAATTTCGATGGGTAACGGACAACAATCCGTTGGTCTTCTATAAGACCCAAGACACCGTCAACAGCACCACCGCTCGATGGATGGCTTTCATCGACCAGGTCGACTTCTTTCCCGATCACATTCCCGGAAAGTCGAACCGTTTTGCGGATGCTCTTTCACGGCGCCCGGATCATTGTATGCGGTCTACTCAACCTTCGAGACCGACGATGACCTGCGGAACAGCTTCTTCCGCGGCTACCAAGCCGACCCCGAGTTTCGCAACAAGTACGCGAATTGCTCCTCTCCTAATCCGGCGCCTTCTCACTACTGGATCCAAGAGGGGTACTTACTTTTCAACACGCGGGGAAAGGACCTTCTTTGCGTACCTAGTGATCCTCACTTGCGTACACGGCTTCTTGGCGAGTTCCACGATGCTCCCGCCAACGAACACTTTGGAGTCGATCGCACGATTGGCCGACTTCGCCAGCGATTTTGGTGGCCCGGCCTTCTCGACGACGTCACGCGCTATTGCTAGTCATGCGAGGTTTGTCGACACTGAAAATGTCGCAACCATCGTCTGTACGGCGAGTTACGACCACTACCGGTACCATTGAGGCGAAGGGAAGCGATTGCCATGGACATTACCGGCCCGTTCCCCAAGCACAAGACCGGAGTGGATGGGATTCTCACGGTGGTCGACCGACTCACCAAGTTCGCCATGTTTTTGCCTTGTCGCTATCATGCCAAGGCACCRSARTYGGCCGAGGTTCTCTACGCCGGTTGGATTCGAACCAAGGGTTACCCCAAGGAAATCGTCTGCGACCGCGACACTCAGTTCATGTCCGATTTTTGGTTGGCGCTCATCAAGCGATGAGGCTCATCTCTCAAGCCAAGTTCAGCTCGCCACCCTCAGACCGATGGCCAGGCGGAGAGGGCGCATCAGACCGCACACGTTCCCCTTCGCACTCTCATCCGCCCCAGCCAGAAGGACTGGGTTGAGTGGCTGCCGGATGTCGAGTTGGCCTACAACTCCTCTATCCACCCGGCTATCGGGATATCGCCCTTTGAGTTTGAGCACGGCTCGCCGGTCACTTCGCCATTGGACATTATCACTCCGCAAACGGCCGAGAGCGACGACCATCTTCTTTTCTTGCGTCGGATGCAAGAACTTCTTGTCAAGGCACGCGACCAGATGGATAAGACGCAGCAGTGCACGAGCCAGCAGGCCAATCGCCAGCATCTTCCTTGCCCATTCCGCGTCGGCGACCTCGTCTGGGTTACCGCAGGGGAATTCAGCCTTGAACAAGACATCTCTCGCAAGCTCCTCCCGAAATGGATGGGGCCTTGGCCGATCGTGGCACCCGCTGGCGACGCACCCGAGGGACCTTCCTTCACGATTCAGGTGCCCGGCCACTTGCCCGTCTACCCAGTCTTTCATTGCTCCAAGTTGGCTCTTTACACGCCAGCGAAACATGACGATTTTCCCGGGAGACGTTCGCAAGCCCACCCTCCATGGATGGTTTTCAGAAGGTCGACGACATCATCTCCCAGTGACGCTATGGCAACAGGCCAACCGAGTATTTATTGCATTTTGCATACTACACACACCGGGCTGATCGTTGGTTGACCCCTGCGGAACTTCAAGCAACAACTCCAGACGTTCTCGCACGCTACGAACGCAAAATGCAAGGCAAGCCGGTTTCTTCGTCTCCACGCCACGCCCGTGTCCAGGTTCCACCTTCACATCGTCGGCTTCACCCTCGCCCCCGCTTGACTTCATAAAGAAGGGGGGGTGTTACATGCTGCGCCTGCACACGAGGGCCATTTTCCAGGCCCTGCATCCCTCAGGCTTAAAGCCTGAAAACCAGGGCCTACAGGCCCC